ACTTGGGCCTGGTGGAGTGGGCTTGGGCCTTGAGTAATTGCTCTCAATAATTCCCTAACAACATCTCTCCTATTCCATTAGAAAGGTGCCATTCTGAGTAACATCATCAAGTTAATGATCATAGCAAAATCTTTTCAAAGCAATCTTGATTGTGTATACTTCGTGAGGAATATTCTACTTGTACATTCATGTGCACATCTTGGATGACATTTTTTCACCAGCTAATGACAAAATATCACTTGTGCATTATGTCATCTAAGGTATACACTTGAGTGCACATGTAGAAAAGTTCAGAAAAGAAATTAACTTTTCGGTGGTTTAGACATTGTATATATGCCCATGTTTGTTGTTATTTTTTACGAACTCATTTTCTTCCACATATTTTCCAAATAAAATAATATACACCTAAACCCAAATTTTTTTTAACACATTTTCCCAAAAATTACTATTTCAAAACCTAATTTTCAAGATTCAAACACATCTTTGAAATATGATTGTTCAGATAAATTAAAACTTGAGACTGGTCTTCTAACAGCACTTAGCACAAGGACAATTGTTTTCGGCGCAACAAATCCAAAGGGATACTATGATTTTGATCAACGTATCCTTTTTGTTAAATAAACTTGATATTTTTTTAGGTAGTCAGGAAAACATAAGTTTTTGTTTGAAGCACACGCCTTTCGATTTCTCGACGAGTGGTTTATACTATTCTTTTTCTTAAAGAAAGCTAGCAGTGTCTATGAACACCGCACTTTCTAGACCCTTTTTAAGCAAATCTGATAGAGTATTAGTCCTCATAGACACAAAGAATCCGGAGTTGTACGCAGTTTTTTCGCCGCACATTCTTTTCGAGGTAAAAATTGCCGAGATCAAACTTAGTACCTGTTTGATTCCCTTTAAAACAAAACTCTTTAATTCTTATACTTATTTTCAATCACACATTCACGTAATAAAATATTTTGCACGTAAATCCAAAATTTTTTCCTATTTTTTAACCTCATATTCTCCA